GTGGTTGATGACTCCATTTTGGTCCTTAAATTTGATATGTACTTCTCCTGTATGCTAAATTTTATGAATTGAAAAGCACTGTGTGACTTACAACTCCTAACAGAATAATTATTCAAAGGATGCAAGAGAAGTTGAGGTAGAAAGTATGTGTACCAGAACAAAGATGTACATTTTTTATCTTTGAAATCAAAGACCTAAGGAAATAGCACTAGAGATATTTTTCTCTGTTTACTCGGGAGTCAGACACGATTTCAGTTCTTGTGTTAAAATTATCCCTTTCCTTACTACAAACCACGAATTCCAGAGAAACCGGAGGAGCATTTTAAGTGGTTATAGAAAGTAAAACAGTCTCATGCAAGCATGGCAGAGAGTATAAATCAACTCTGAAAACCATGGAAGAGGATGTGTCATGATTCCACTCTCATCCAGTGAGATCTGTCATCTAATAAGTGAGAATTGTTGTCTGAGGGTGCTGAAAGTCTGATTTGCTCAGTAAGTCCTTCTCTATCCTGTAATTAGCCAGCCATTAGGAATGAGGTGGACAACAATGATCTCTGCTGTTTTGCATTCTTAGCTGGAAATAGCCCTGCACTGAGCTCAGTAAGCTTTCATGTATGCTAAAGATGCAGCTGTCCTTATGAAGCCATTCCACATAGGATTAAAACAGTGTCACAAAAATGGCAGGTGTCTGCATATGCTCAGATGATGAAGAGGTGATGAGTGGTTTACATGGATTTGCTTTTTTGGAGCACGGCGCTTAACCCCCACCTAGATCATTCGCTAGGACCAATACATACGCATACCTATAGGATCTAAGCTTTATCACAGGTATTTTAGGCAAGAATTTATATTAAATGTCATGCTGGTATTTACTGTAAGAGTCACCTCTGGACTTAAATTTTATGCTAGCTATTGAATAGTCTTTTTTTCTGGATTGTGAGGAGAAAAAGGCAACACTGAAAAGTGACAGATAACTTTTAAAACCAAAAATAATCCACAAACTGGGCAATTCAGCGGACAAGCTTCCCCCTCCATTATAGAGGATTGTAAAAGGACGTTCCTCTTAAGTTCCCTGCCCTTTATGGAAAATTATGCAGAAATTAATATTACGTAGTGACATGATATCACGTCACACTATACTTCATCCCAAACCTAAGAGTAGTTGCCCAAACAAGCCAATATTTAAAAAATAGACTTTGTCTTATATGTAAAGATGTTTCATGAAAGAATAAAGTAAAATTTCACACTGCCTTAGGAACATTGTACATAGGAAATACTGCATCAAATTCCTCCTTATGCTATTTTGAACACATTCTTACACCCTTCTTTGGTGTCCTCTGCCTTTTGATATGTGCTCCCAAGCTACTAACAAAGTATCAAGATGCTAGTCATTCAGCTTTATCACAACAGGAAAGCTACAGTTCAACAGCATTTTAGAAATATCAATAAATAACATGAAAAAACCCCCTCTAAATCTCAGTGATGGTAAATAAACCCTCCAGTCTTCATAAACAGATTGGTTTGTTCTATTCTGCTCCTTTAATTTCAGCACACATGAGTTCCCCATACTTGAATTGCAAATGAGTGGCACAAATGTTAAAAAATGTTTCTGCGTGTTATTTTCATTGGCATCAGTCTCGGCAGTGTTTTGGAGATGGAAGAGTTTTTGCAAGCCACAGCAGGGCTGCAAGGAAACACGTATTTCCCCAGTTGGATTGCCAGAATGGAGAATTAGTTTTATTCAAGCCCTTCATTTTTTCCCTGCAATCCTGGTTGGCTTGACTAGGGATCTGGCCCTTAACAGACCACCAAGTACCACTGCAACCTCTTTATACTCCCTGCTGGTCATCAGCATCCTCCGTGTTTGTCTCCAGCAAGCTGGAAGAGACTTTTCTAAAGGCTGCACAGGATGCTTGTTGCAAGTGCTAACCAGGCAACACTGTGGAAGAAACTGATGTGGGCAAAACATACACCTGAGCCCCAGTGCATTCAGAGACAGTATGTGCAGGTAATGGCTTTCTGTATAAAATAGCTCAGAAAACAAACTGGGTTGGCCACCTAAGCAGGGCTGTGAAATTAAGAAGATGACTGGTTAGACATCTGAACTACTGCTGCTACACCAGAGGAGAAAACTGGGAGGTTAGCTTATGCTCTTTGAGAACTTTTATGTGTTGTAGGCACATTTGGTTAATCAACGTTTGCCTGTATTCTGTAATATAGGGAAATTTCTTCAGGCTGACCAGCCCAAGACTGCATCTTTTGCCACACTAAAGCCTCCCACTGACTGCCAGGAGGGCCTTAGGTCCAACACATGAATATTGAAGCATTTTTTTCCTTCAGGAATTATGCTGCCAATTGAAGTGCTAAGGATACAAAGCCATCTCAGAATTCAAAGTTTGTCTTGAAAACAGGACAAAACAACTTTCTAGGAAAACAGATGTGACAGCTACCATGCTGTGTTGCTTTCTGAGGCCTACTGGTATAGCCTAAAACCCCTGAGATGTACAAAAATACCTACAGTAGAGCCAAGGCCACACTTCTGACACAACCTACTCTTCAAAGAGCCTAAAAAACCCAGATCTGATCATCAAAACAAATTAAAAGGTGATCTTATCCTTCATTCCATGAAAAAAAAAATCATTTGTAACTCCATTTCTGTGAGGAAAAGGTTAAATCTGAACAGCTTCTTGTGCCAAATTCTTAATTTTAAACACAATTAGTGTCCATTGGTATCTAAGACTAATTCACGCACCAGCAGCTGCAGCAATGATTTATTTTTTTTCTGCCTAAGAAAAAAATACACTGAAATGTGGAATAAGGCTATGTCAAAGGTAAAATAAACAAACCATAATAGCCAGTGCCTGCCAAGAAAATAAGATCCAGCCCTGCAATCCTTCGTACTGTTGAACCCCTCAGTCTCTGGTTTTCACATTTTCAGCTTGTACAGATTTCTTTCCTTGTGAACTCAAATGTCTGCTGGGACTGGGAGTAGAAGAAAAGTTACAGTTAAACCCTTCTGTCCAACCCCATTCCTTGAATAATCAGAAGTAAAAGAAGTAAACTAATAAGTCTCTCTCTTCCAGCAGTCAGAGTATTACAAAATAAATTGTGGTTAATCTATAGCAACAGAACCATCCATTTCTTCCAGGCATATGAAATATAAAATATGCAGTAACGCTCAAAGCACTTGCTAATTATTTAACAGAGGGATTTTCCACACAAAACACATTTAAAAATTGAAAAGCTTCACTAGTCCTGACCAGAACATTTAAAAGAAAATTTTTATCAGTGATATTTTAAATCAGAGGACTGCAGTAACCTCCTCTTGTAGCCTGAATTCAGCTGATTCCTACACAGTGTTATAGACCCTTCTGCAAAACGACAGTATTACATATCACTAGTATGAAGCAGGAATGATTTTTAAAGATTGGCCAGGATGAAACAGAGTTGAGACTAGGAGGAGATTTCCAGAGGAGTTCTGCCTTGTCTGAGCTTCAGTTATTCACATGCCTCCTAGTTTTTCTGCACCTCAGTTTATTCAGCTTTAACTGCAATCTTTGTAGACCCTGTAAAACTCTGAAGCTGAGCTGCTGCAACACACCATGATTTCCAGTGAGTATCATTTACAGTAATATTTTATTGCTCATCATCCAACATCCTCTTTCCTTAAACATCCTAAAATTTGGGATTTGTTCTTTTTTTTCTGTTTCAATGGAGCTGCGCCCAGCTGACCCTATCTTTCTCTTCAGAGCTGACGTCACCACTTCAGCATCATCCATCCATCTTCCTCTGCAGTGCATCCTCCTTTCCCAGGGCTGCAAATTTCACCTGCCATTAATTTTGTTCATTCAGCACAGTTGTTTACAAGAAAAAAAATAAGACTTTGAGGAAATGTTGGCATAACTACTAGCCTTGTTTCTCCAGACCTTTCTTAAGCAGATGTGTAGAACAAAGTGAGGAGGGGTCAGGAATTGCAGTCTCCCAGGGTCATATGAAGAGAATTAGAAAAAACTACTGATGATCAAAAATTGGACAGATTACAAGTTTAGTTAACCTTAAATAAAAAAAAAATAAAAAAAAAGAAGACCAGAGGTATACATGCCGATAGTCTTCAAAAGCATAAATTCTGTGGTGAAAAGGAAAGGAACAACCTGTTCTCTAAATGGATAGGGCAAGAAGTAATGGGGTTAAACTGCACATAAGGAGTTTCTAATTGGAGGCAGTGGAAGACTGTCCTAGCCTAAGGAAAGCAGAGCACTCAAAGGGATGCCTGGGGAGGTTATAAAATTTCATCCCTTATTTGCATAATTTGGATATTTACCAGGAAAAAGATGGGGAGATTGGATCCTGCTTTATGGTAGTGAAATTGTGGGATGGACCATATAAACTCTTCACATTCCTTTCTGTTCCAGTAAGTTTATGCCATAACTGTGAAGTCCAAAAAGATCCAGTAAGTCCAAAAAGATCCAGCCCTAACAGTAAGGGCTTTTCATCCTTCCTTGGGGGTACCACCTCTCTCCCTACTTCAGCTGTAATTGTCAAGTCCTGGGTCAAACCTGGCTTCTCATACCAACTGGGACTCTGAATTTATGAAGCTTCATCATGAAACAACATGGGCTGTGTGCTCCCGCTTTCCTGTTTGGGAAGCTGTTGAGATCTTCAGTCCTCTAGATGTCAGAAGCCTTTTTGCTCCTGGCTTCCTGTCCCAATTTCCTCATGATAAATCTCTGGCACCAACAATGTTCAGCTCAGTGACCTCCTGTGTATTCAGTTTACCACATCACAGAATTGCTTTTAGGGAATCACTTCCACATGTCACCTCACCATATGCTCTTCTGCAGCCACAGAGCTGAACACACATCCTTAGACAACCAAAATGCATGTAGTTATATAGGCCAAAAAAATCTATAGTCACAGCACACATACATCTGCAGAGAACTGAGAAAATCTTGCAGTCTCTTACCTGATGTTTATGGGTCTTCCCATTATAAGTGACATACCTTTGTGTAAAGGAAGATGCTTGTGTTTTGGTCACATGATGGATCAGTTTGGGTCACATGATACGGAAAGAACTGTGCAACCATCAGGGTACTGGGTGTTGGACTGCAGGCAGGATGATTACATGCCTCAGGTCAAACAACTCAACTTTAATCCCACTTTTCAGCCATTATTAGGCTACCAGATGAGCTCCAGGACAGGTCTACAGCATATTGAAGCGCAGCGCAATTTACCTTTTCTGCCAAGACAAACCAGAGCATTTTGATCTTGGCTGCTGCTTCTTCTTCTGTTGTAACCTAGCACCATTTCAGCTCCATCTGTGATTGCTGTGCTGGGAAGACAATAGAAAACAGAACATTTGTGATGAGTAGCATCTGTGAGGTTTTAGTATCTAAAAGCCTTCCCTGAGACCCACAGAACAGGACCCACCATGACCAGAATCAGAAATGGAAGAGGAAAATCAGTCAGGTGGCTATAGCTACTGTTGGTGTGCTTCATAGCCCAAACACGCACCTTTAAACCACTTCAGGATTTCCCACCTGTGGCAGTCCTTCAGGATCAAAACCTGAGGCAACTTCAGGCGACCCTGGGACACCAAGGGGCAAGTTGTGTGCCTTCAAAGTATGAAATTCACAGAAGGAATTAGGTTGGAAAAGACCTCTGAGGTCCTTGAGTCCAACCTATGACCTAATACCACCCTGTCAACTAGACCATGGCACCAAGTGCCACATCCAGCCTTTCCACCAGGGACAGTGACTCCACCACCTCCCTGGGTAGTCCATTCCGATGTCTAATCGCCCTTTATGTGAAGAAGTTCCTCCTGTTGTCCAACCTGAACCTCCCCTGCTGCAGCTTAAGACTGTCCTCTTGTCGTGTCACTGGTTGCCCGGGAGAAGAGACTGACCCCCACCCGGCTACAACCTCCTTTCAGGGTGTTGTAGAGAGTGATAAGGTCGCCCCTGAGCCTTCTCTTCTCCCAGCTCCCTTAGCTGCTCCTCATAAGACTGGTGTTCCAGACTTCACCAGCTCCATTGCCCTTCTCTGGACTCGTTCCAGCAACTCAGTGCCCTCCCTGAATTGAGGGGCAATGTCACCGAGCCTGTGGGAAGGCACGGCGTGCAAATAAAGAACAGTGAAGGTATCTCTCCCCCTGAACAGCTGCAGAAGCGTTTTTAACGCAGAGAGCTGCCCTTTCGCCTTCTCTGCGAGCTTAGCGCTCCGCTCGCACAACTGGCGGGCGCTCCCAGCGCGCCACTCGCCAACACCCCGAAATTAACCCGCATCTTCCAGGTCCGCCACCGGGACAAGTTCGCGGGGAAGGGGAGGGGGGCGCTGCGGGGTCCCGTAAGGCAGGGGCGGCTCGGCAGGTGCCGAGCCACTCCCGCTCACGGCCCCGCGCGGGCAGCGGGGTCGCGCTGTGCCTAACGCGGGCTGACAGGCAGGCGCACGCGTAACCCCCTCCCCCCCGCGAGCCCGCGCTGACATCACCGGGCAGGATTTAAATAGCTCCGCAGCCTCCTGCTTCCCGGATACAGCGCGCACCATTGGCCGCCGCCGCAGCCAATGGCGGCGCCGCGCCGCTCCCCTCCGCCAATGGCGGCGCCGCGGCCGGCGCGCCCCTCCCCTGTCGCTAAGGGAGGGAAATACAGCGCGGCGCGGCGGGCTGTCAGGTGCGCTGGGCAGCGCTGGGGTGCGCCGGGCGCGGGCATCAGCCGGGGGGCTGCCGGGGTGGAGGGTGGGCTCTCCTCCCTTACCCCCTCCTTGTTTTTCGTCCCTGCTAGGCGAGCTCCTGTAGCCAGCCGCGTTACTCGGCGCGAGAAGGGAAGAGTGTGGAAAGTGGCGGTTCTCCGCTTTGTTTTAATCGCTCCGGTGGCGGCGTCTCCGGGGCGGTGAAATACGGGACGAGCGGCCCCGCCGTGCTCCTTCCTCCTCGGGAAGAGCTGGAAAAGAGAGAGAGAGAGAGAGAGAGAGAGGGGAGAGCGATCGGTGGTGCCTCGTGGGCTGGCCGGGCTGCTGCCGGGGCTCGGCGGCCGCAGACGGTGGATTTGTGGGAAGCGGACGGGATGAGAAATAAACGCACCTGGCCAGCGGTGTTTAGGGGAGCGGGGGTCGGGTCCCCCCGCTGGCTGCCGGAGCCCTCGGACTCCGGACTCGGACCCGCCGAGCTGCAATGGACGCTGCCCGCCGCTGGCCGCAGAGCGGAGCATTCCCGCCGCCGCCGCCGAGGAGGGAGAGCTGCCCGCCCGGAGCTGGCCCGCAGCGCGCCCCTCGCCCGGAGAGGGACCGGGGGTTTCCTCTTCGGCATCGCTCCGGTGAACGTGGGCTGTGCCAGCCGGGCGCCCACATAGGTTGCATGGCAGCCGCGGCGCGAGCGAATAGGTAAACGCCACTGTGTAGATGTGCTGTTCGGAAAGGAGAAAAAAAAATAAATTAAAAAATGCGGATGCGGATGTTGGGCCTGGCACAGGGGACTGGGCTGCACGGGGAGATGGAATAGCCTCTTCTCCTGTGCCTCGCGCGGCGGCGAGATGTAGCCTAACGAAAATGAAGTCCTTACGTAAGGCGGGCTGGATGGATGGCTGGATACCTGCTGGGTCCTGCATCGCCAGCCGCTGCCCCGCCAGAATTACCTGGGTCTCTCCCTGCCATGCCGCAGCCTGTCACTGCAGGGCCTGTCCTAAAAGCAGACTTTCAGCCGCAAGAGCTCGTACATTTAAGAGCTGCGTAGCATCGTGGAACAAACATAAATCCATTGCATTCCAAACTCAGAAAATTTAACCCATTTCACTTGTTACCAAGCTTACAAGCTTGAAAGGAGAATGCATAAATCTACTTTGCTGTCAAGCCCTAATAGCGTTGCGTAAAACATTTCTGCTTGGTTACTGTTTATTGCTTCACACCCTCCAAATATTTCTGACTTGTTTTTTTCCTGTATCCACAATGTGTTAATACGTCGCCTGAATATCCTAAAGATGTCGGCCTGCATTCAAAAGGCAAATGCGTGTGCAAAAAGTGTAGGCAAAACACAGAACAGGCTTGAGACAATTTTTTTAATGTAATATCAGTTTCTGGTTCTCCCTACATTTTAGAGCAGAGTGATGAACTTTATGCCTTGCTACTTTTCTTCCCCATTCCTCCTCAAATTAAGAACACAGCTTAAGTCACAGTTTTGTTGGAGAGCTTTTTTTTAAATAAGATAAGAAATTCTTATACAACATGAAACATTAATTATTGCAGGAGAAGCTGCAAATACTTACTGGAGAGGCCTTGGTAAAAGTAAAAATAAAAATTAAAAGAATGCTTAATCTTCCCCTGAAACAAACCCACTGAGTTATCAGAAATCTGAAGTGCCTGCCTGTCTGCATCTTTGTGATGTCATGAAGTTTGTGTCAAGGTTTCTGTTCCTTTAGGAAAGGTGAGCCTCTAATAAGAAATCGTTCCTCCCATTCTCCCCCGTGTTTCTGTTTCCTCCTTCTCCTTACCTGTTATTCCTCTCAGTGAAGGATGAGGACTGTGAAGCCTTCTTTTCCCTTCTGTTGTTGCAGAACTCCATGGATGTATCGGAAGTAAGCGCTGGGAGCATTTGGTGATGTTTGGGGGAGGAAGGCACAAGCCACCAAGGCCCTGTTCCCTCCATCTTGAGCCTTCCATGGTGATATGCAGCAGCACAGGGAAGTATGAAGCACTGAGGGACAGAAGTCAGTGTTTAAACTTAACTTTGCTTCAGCGTAAATGACCATGCAAGTTTCGGATTAACAGAGGACCAGGGGTAGAATAGCAGAAGTACTTAAGGTGCCTCTTTTAAAAGTTCTGTTTTGCGTATCTAAAGATTAGGGAGATGTTTAGAAAAGTGATTGTACACATGTGCTTATGTTTACTGTCCTAACAGGAGATGATGATCCGCATTATCTTAAATGCTAGATATATCTTGGATGCATCTGTGTCACCTCATTGATTTCAGGGGAACTGTATTGATTTAAGTTAGTGAAGGCACTAACCCAGCTAAGTTTTAAATAATTAGAATAGTATTCTGCCTCTTTTTCAGTCAGATTTTCCCTTCATGTTACTTGTGTTTCATAATCCTCCTAGCTCTCCATTTTGTCATTACAAGACCAGCATCTCTACTGTAGGAAAAAAAAAAAAAAGAGAGAGAACACCTCCCCACCTCCCTCCCAAAGATAGTCTTTTAACAATCTGCTCTTTATATTAATGTTTAAATAAATTTAGGACACCAATGAACTGTTTTTTTTAATAGGCCAATTTAGTTTCAGTTTCTTACACAGTTATTTTTTAGAGCCAGAAGCTCTCAGGAAGAGAATGTGTTCGATGCACAGAACCCTTTAGGGTTTTGATAAAAGACATGATATCATGAGTACCATCTCCACTTCTGTTATTCTTCTTATATAGTAGCGACAAGATTGAATCACCATTTTTAGCTATTCTTCAGCAGAACTCATAATCTATCAATGTGTCAGCTCAACAGCAGTTTTCTCTTCGCACTAATGTGAACCAGAAGATCCAGCTATCACTGATTTTGACAATTTTATTTTATCTGAGATTGCATGTATTGCAGAAGTTTGAAGCAAATGAATTATAGGACCTATTATATTTTCCTAAAGATGTACAGAACGTAAAATATGTCATCTAAAACCTTTCAAACTAATTTGTATCAGATAACATTCCTATGTTAGGTGTTTCATAAGCCTTGCGCTATAAGCACTATTACATATTTGTGTGATAAATAACAAGTATAGGATCAAATGCGGGTCCCGTATTTTTTTTTAGTGCCTCAGAGTGCCCTCTGTGTTGTTACATAATGCATCATAAAGAAATACGTGCCTTCATTCTCTTAAAATCACTCCGGCATGGATAGCACTAAGCTTTCCTTCCAGTCGTCGTTATGCAAGTCCTTGCTACTGCTAATAGCTGTCAGCTCTGCATGGTTACTTAAAAAACAAGGTAACTGCAGACTTTTTGTGAAGCTCCTTGCATTTCTGGAATTTACAGTGAGTTGATTCCAGGTGCGTTGCTCCTTTTCCCAGCTTTAAATTAAATTATTATGAACAAACAGGTTTTCCCCCATCAGAAGAAAGTCCCACTCATTCCAGTATATCACACGGTAGTCTGCTTTTTTGTTTAGGTGCGTCTATAAGCATTTTATATTATGAGTATCTGAATGCACTTCAGTGTCAAAACACAGTGGAATAGACCAGAATGCAGTAATATTTTGAACGTCTGTTGGAAAATGAAAGCATATAACTAAGTACTGAAAGAATACATAGCACAGTAAAAAATCCATGACCAATCTAGCAAAGCTATTAGGTAACAAAAAAAATCCATATAGGCATTAAGTACTATTATTTAAAGTAAAATCTCTGTTATAAGCAGCATTCAAGTGAAATTGATGAGACATCTATATAGAACAGAAAGAATCCTTTTTTTACAGCCATGATGCAACCTTCTGTATTTCTTTACTTAGGAAGTAGAATTTTACTTGTCTTTTTGTAAAGGTGTAAAATTAACAGCAAGCTCTTCAGAGAATTAGGAACACTGCCTGACTTGTGAGATTTTTTTTTCCTCTGTGAAACACAGAGATCATTGGTGGCAAAAAATCAGGAGAAACCTGTCTGGATTTCCCAGTGTCACGTAGATCTTTTTGAGTGCCCTGTCCTTTAAGAAGGCCTCGGTTTTAAAGGTATTGAAATGGAAATATCTCAAAATTTGTCATCCTGACTATATATAGAAAAATTTTGCTCTCCCTTATACCAATAGAAGTATACAAGTAGTAACTCAGTGATGTGTCACCATGAAAGGAGGGTTGGTTTCATATTCCATTGATAGATCTATTAGTTTAACAATCCTCTATTGCATTTCTAAATTTCTTTAATCTTTTTGTTGCTCTCATAAATTTGAGGTACTAGCATATTTGTTTATTTCCATTTTATTACTTGTAATCATTTTGAAAGGTTCA